TCATTTATATGGGAAATGCTTTCACTCTACTTCGCCTAAGGTGATAAGGAGACTGGTAGCTGAATTTTCCAACAATGATATGAGTAGAAATGACGTCTCCATTGAATTTCACACAGCCTTGTTTTAACATTAGGTAATCTCATCTAGTGTGAACTGCATTTAGACATTGCCTAGGTCTTATCAACACCTTCAGCGGGACTCGAACCATTAGAGTGTAGCGTATAATCAAGATAGGTTAATCAATACGCCACATTGCCACATGTGCCCTTGGGGGACAGAGCAGATGTGAATTTCCAGAGAGGCCAAGCATTTTCCCATATCACATTCTGTGATGGGTTTTTCGATGGAGCAAAGTTATATTTTCTATGGCAACCATCTACATTACTTATTTTTTGTTTATAAGTAGAGTTTAGAGGCGTCCTTACTAATAAATAAAAAATTAAGTAATGCAGTCGATTGCAATAGCAAATATGACATTGCTTCATCAACAGTGTGATATGGCAAAATGCTTGGCCTTACTTGAAATTCACATCTGTCCTGTGACCCAAAGGCACTCGTGGAAATGTGGCGTAGTGATTAACCTGCTGAGATTATAGGCTGCAATGTCATGGTTAGAGTCCCGCTGGGGGTGTTGATAAAACCTAGGCGAGGTCGAAACTGCAGTCCTCCCTGAATGAGACTACATTTTTGAGAGCAAGGCTATTCAAAATTCAATGGAAGCGTGAAGTCTACTCATATGATTGTGGGAAAATTCAACTGTCTTTCCTTAATTATCTTACATGGAATAGAGTAAACACATCTCATATAATATGATTCGGCTTCTTATTAAAACTTCTTATAATATCTCAAACCCACTGATTCGGAATACAAAGTTTCCATGTTTGTGATAGTCTTATGTATACGATGGAGATGATCAATAATTGGTCAGACTGATGAATTATTTTATTTATTTATTTATAATAAAATTGATTTTTATGATTTATCCAAAGCTGAATAATAGAATTATCTTGCGCCTTGACTAATTTAATTCATCGCGTCAGGCTTCGTTACAGCAAGGACCCCATTACTCGTTTTAACTCACCTCGCCATCTTCAACTTTGGTCATTTTGACAGAGCCCAGCTTGTGGAGGATTTGGAGGCAATGTCGAATGATTCAGCCATTCATTCACAGCATTTCTCCATCTATGATGGGAACAGAAGCGCAGCTAGGCCTCAGTTAGCCCCTTTGGATCCTTGGACGACGGGGGAGCGGCCAAAGATTGCGCCAAAAGAAGAGATCCAGAGGAAGTCAATGCTTATCGCAACTACACCAAATGAAGGCAAATTTCGTGGTGGCGAGTCTTATGAAGATCAGATGAGCTGCAAAAAGGAAGGCAAAGATGCACTAAAAATCCCAAAAGTGCGTTCCGTGAGCTCAATTCTCAAGAATGTGGGAGGTCTTCGCCCAATCAAAGCCCTACATTCAGCAGAGCAAAGCGCTTCAAGCTCCAAGCCACTACCGGTTGGCAACCTAATAATTCAGCATTTAGTCTCAAAAGAAGGCAGTAAAGAGCATACCTCGAGTGAAACTATACAAGCACGGCAAAAGATGAAAACTGAGGTGGGCAAATTTTGAAAATTCATATTTATGCCTACAAACCGATTATTATGTTGCTTAAATCTATTTTTCAGGAAGTTCCCATGTTGAACATTCATCACAGCTAGCCTTTTTGAAGAGCTTTGAGTACTCTTCTTGGAGAAACTAGGTCTATCTGCAATAAATTTACTATTTTCAGCCACAAATTAAATGCACTTCATTTGCATACTACTCATAAGATTGCAGGAGTCATAAGAAGTTCTAGGCTTT